AGATAGATAGATAGATAGATAGATAGATTAGTTTAGGCTCGGCCTACGAACGGGTCGGAAATATTTAAAGTGCGTCGAAACTGTTATTGGTAACAATGAAATCTGGGCTAGCAGATATGCGTGCTAGAACCTTACTCTCCAGCGACGCCCTAATGACCACTGGCCTGAAAATATAGCACTAACACCATACAGACAATTTATCCGTGAAGTGAAAAAAGGCTTTTCAGTTGACCACCGGTATTTCATTTGAAAAAAAAAAAAAAGCTCTATTAGAAGATATTTCAGCCTGAAAAAGAAAAAAAAAAAGCATGAAGTGAATTTTCATAAAGCTCGTAATTTCGGTTCTAATATCAGTAATTTCAGAAGGAAACTAAACCCTAGTTACGTTCGTCGTAGCAGACGATGGGCATATTGAAATATAAAGCACTAAAAACATTTCATAAAATGGAAACTAAATAATATTATTGGCATGAATGCCTTAAAAAAAAAAAAAACATTACAATAAAAATGTAAATTTACTGCATTAAAAAAAAAAAAAAAAAATAGACGTCCCCTAAAAATAATCCCTAACTGTTTTTAGGAGCAAATATTAATGTTAGACCGTTTTTTTTTTCACGAGGGAGGAGGGGGGGGGGGGGGGGGGGGGGGGGGGGGGAGGGGGGGGGGGGGGCTGTGCCATGGAATTGGAAAGGGGAAAAGGGTCTCCGTGGTAAAGCGGCTAAGCCGTTTGCCTTGCTTTTTGAAAGTCGTGAGTTATTTTCACATCTGTGTTGTTCGGGGTTTTTCTTCTTCCCCCCCCCCCCCCCCCCTCGGTCCCCACGGTGTTCGTGCTTTGTGCGACACTCTAGGCAGGCGACTGACTGTTCTGTGGTGTAAGACCGAGCCAAATGAGATACAACTAGGTGCAGCGAAGTCGATCCTTTGAAACTGTTAACTCTGACGGTATTATTAGTTTTGTAACTTTCTCACTTTGCAGTGATGTACCACAAGTCAGAATCTAGTGAATGAAGCACAGTAGAACTGTATCATGTACGTTCAGACCTGCATCAGAACATGTTACTTCTACTTCTTGGCCATCTGGATTTGTTGTGGTGAGTACTGAAAGTATTATAAAGTAAAGGACATCTTTTCACGCGTCAGTTTTATGGTGTTCAACTAATATTTCCAAAGACCAGTCGGCAAACAGACGACTTTTTTTGGGGTTTTTTCCTAATCGCGACAGGTATTGTTTTTCCTATGACATTTTCTATTACGCATTTTAACTAGGACGACATGGGAGCACAGGTAAATTATATATATGTATATACTTATACACACACATACATACATACATATATTTTTTTCCGATACATTGCGAATTCGATCCAAGACTTTAAGACGATGCCAAGCCATCATCCTATCTCGACTCAGTTTCCTTGTATCCACGTAAATCTGCAATTAGAACTTTTACTTCTTTTTCTGCCTCCCCTTTACGCACCATTTTGCATTCCAGAACGCCGTCTTTGATGTTTCTTGATAAAATACTGTTCGTCTGTGTATGGATTGGATTCGTATTTAAAGGTTCTATGAATTGGTTTCATTTGTAAAGGATCCCATTCATCATATTCTGGTCTATGTTTATTTATTCTCTCCGCGCCACTGTTGAAACTTGAGGCATTCACTGGTCATCTCCATTGCTGCCGGTCTGTTTTATCGATGCCGGTCTGTTTTATCGATGTCGGTCTGTTTTATCGATGCCAGTCTGTTTTATCGATGTCGGTCTGTTTCATCGATGCCAGTCTGTTTCATTGCTACCGGTCTATTTCAACGCTGTCGGTCTGTTTCTTCGCTGTCGGTCTGTTTAATCTCTGCCGGTCTGTTTCATCGCTGCCGGTCTGTTTTATCTCTGCCGGTCTGTTGCTTTTTTGCCCATGGTACCCCTGTCAGTTTGCATTTCTTTTTTTCCCCTCTCTCTTTTTGCTTTCATTCTCCAGGTGTTCTAGGTCGTCCAGCTCATTCTCCAGCTGCGGTTAAGTGTACAGCTGTCCTCGCCAAAGTGGCGCCAGGAACTCTGCAGACACGTGCAAGCTATCCAATTCCTCTAACGTAAGCCGATAAATCCACTTAGGGGTCAAACTTAATTCCATATATTATAATATTGTCGGCTCTGTGGCTAAGTCGGTGCGAACGCTTCGTAATGCCGGGATGCCGGGTTCGATCCCAGCTGCGGGACACGCGCCTTGCATTGGTGTCGATAGTAGTATCAAGAAAGCCGACCGTCCAGCAAGCAATGGCAAACTACTAGACGTAAATTTGCCTAGAGAAACGCCCTGTAAACGTCCTGTAAAAGATACGCAACTAACCTATATTATAATATTAGTTTTGCACCCTTTACAAGATGTTAGAGAACCAACCCAGCATAATTTGGCTGTTTGTAATTTCACTAGGCAATGATTATGTGCGGTAGTTTTGCCATTGCTTTTTCCATAGATTAGGTTAGTTGCGTATCCTTTACAGGACGTTGCAGAACCAACCCCAATAGCCTCTGGCTGTTGTGTGGTTTTTCTAGGCAAATTTACATCCAGTAGTTTGCCATTTCCTCCTGGACAGTCGTCTCTCTTGAGATTACAGAAGGGAAATTTCAAAATATAACCCGAGCTCCTTACTATTTAAATGTGTTTAGAATTAAAAAATATACAGGTCTCCTATATCCTTGACTTACGACTGAATTCCGTCTTGACTAATAAGTCGTAAGTTGAGCTGGTAGTAAGTCTAATTGATATTTTTCAATATTTTTTTTTTTTCAGACTAGACCCTGCTTTGTTCTAGGCATTAGTTCCCGGAACTTGTTGACCCTACCAATGTACTTATCTTTCTTTATTTACTTTTTGTCGTAAGTGCGGATGGTAGTAAGTCGTATAGGTAAACAATTCATTACAAGGTAGGCTGTGAACAATATTTTCTTTTTAATTATGTGTGCTTTTGTTTGTGGGTACAAACTTATAACAAAAATTAAACGTAGACAGTACTTTTTTCCTCACAGTTTATTATCAGAAATGGAGGAACGTTTTTCGCATCAAACACACCGTGATTGGCTGTTTTTCGTGCTTCGTGACCTTTCACACGCTCTAGTCTATGTTACAGGAGAGTCACGTTGTGTTCTTTTCGACGCTATCACCGGCGATATCCCGTGTTCTATATTACACTTTGTGACCGCTTTAACGACCCCACAACATCTAGAACTGGCCCTAGCCGCAACCCCCTAACCCCACAGCCTCAATCTACATCCTACGAGAGAGTGCAGCCTACATCTTGTGGTTTTAGAATTGTTAACATTTTGCGGCGGGCCCCCCAAAAAAATGCCTTGCTGTAGAAAAGCAGCGCTCCTCTCCTTGTCGTCCCTCAACGCTTACAGCTGAAGTAACTTCATGGCCTACTTGAAGTCCGGGAAAGCTGTAATGTACGCAATCTTGCGTGCCACTCACACCAACCAGTACATGGCGCGAAATATACACTTTTCAGAAGATCGAACACAACGAAACGTGGCATCCCTGTAACTAAGAGTAATGAAAGATCATGAAGAATGAACGAACGGCCAATCTCGGTGTGCTTGGAGCGGGAAACGTTACTAGAACCGAAATGGACTTGATAAGGGCTGCAAGATTAATTTTAAAAAAGTAAGTGGGAGTTAAAGGGATAATTCCTTTGATAACTGTGCCATATACCTTGGACACGAAAAAAAAAAAAAACACTGACCTGATTCGTGAATCTGGTGATCCTGTGAGATGTCGAAAAACGATAGCCTTTTCTTATCGACACGGCTCATGATAAAGATGAGTTGTTTAATTTGGATATCTCATAAACAGGTCACTTACGTACTATTGTTTAGTCTTTAGTGGCGGAAGGTAATGTTAGTCGTATACCAGATATTGCTATGAGGCACTCTGACATTTTGCGAGCCACCTTGGTGTCGCGACTAAACGCTCGCCTAAGGATCTGAAGGTTGTGGGTTCAAGTCCAAACTGAACTGGACTCTTTTTTTTTCTTCAGAAATGACCCTGGCTCCCAGGTCGACCTAGCCTTAAATGGGGAACCAGGTAAAGTCCTGGTAAGTAAAGTCGGCTAGCGTGATGTTAACCACCCCACCCACCCAGTGCCAGTCGGTTTATAACTTATATGTCTAGCCCTACATGCCCAATACACATGACGGCCTGGAAAAGAGTCTTTTACTTTACATGTAAGGTAAACATAATTCTGTTTTTAACGAAGACTGAATCAGGAAGAGAACCTAAAAAATTAAAAAAAAAACATTAACATACCACATGTTAAATATTTCAGTCACTTGTAGTTATTACATCAACACGGTCTTTCCTGAAGAGAGTTTATCCTTTGCAACCGATATTTTGTGTTATTTCTATATTGTAGCTTTGGAACAGAACGAGTTGAAGAGACAATCGATATAGAATTAGGTAATTGACATAACAGAAAAGGTTTTCAGAAAAACTAAACGAATTAACTCCACATAATGAGTAACCAATAAGAGTATCGTGGTTTCATCAGTACTAACAAAACACACAAAAATGTTTGTTCTTAACGTTCCTGTAGTGGTTACAGGAAGACATTTTTAAAATTTTTTTTTTATTTCAACCCTCAAAATTTACATACTGACTGATTTGTATCTCAAGGATGAGAATCAAACAGCTACAAATCCTGGAAATCCTGTTCAACTCTACAGCCATATATAAAGCACAGTTTTATTGGAGCCTCATGTGTGCCACTTGGTACTATAAGCATGTCAACTTTTCGTTGGTTACTGGATAAGGGGACGTAGCAATCATTGTAGTGTCCCTAGTGTTCATTCATTCATTCATTCATTCATTCATTCATTCATTCATTCATTCATTCATTCATTCATTCATTTATTGGGGTTCCACCAAACGGCGACGAAGCTTGGGCGATTTGTGGGTGACGTTGTAAATTAACTTAAAACGCTTTCTCCTATATATTCTGTCTCCCCCAAGCGCAACCAGGCAACACGCTAAAATGCTACGAATGCATGGAATCATTTACCGATGTCGACGTCTGGGTGCCTCTGGACTGTCAAGTCAATGCCACAGCCGTCCCTGTCAGGGTGTGCAACGACCAGCAGCCATTTTGTTATGTGAGTTTTTCTTTTCTGTTTATGTTACTACGGGAACTTGACATACACACACGGCATTACATACGTTATACAGTTGTTATATTACGTTTATTTGTATGATTACTACCATTGTCAGTGTAGTTATTGTTGTTGCTATTGTTACTATCAGTTGCAGTCTTTGTTATTGCTTTTTGTTTTGTTTGCTTGGAAGGGGTTTGAACCCCTCCTCAATATGGCGCGCAGATTTTTCGTTATTTTGAAGTCCTATCCTGCCTGTACTCGGGGGCCCTAATATAACCTAACGGTTGAACGGGAGTTTCTGGGACTTGTGCTAGGGTGACCCTCATCTAAATAGTGGCACTTTATGTCACCAGGTGTTGGTCACCCGTTGTACTATCCTAGTGGAGTTGAACCTTACGCAGACGTTTCCGTGGTATTCGAAATTACTACATAGACATAAAGACTGATGTGTTACTCCACAAACAAAAAATTCCCCTTACTTTCGTAAATAATGACCACAAACCATTCCTGGAGGGATGCTCTTTTTGGCTGTCCAAGGAATTATAATTGCTAGCGAGCCAGTGAGCTTATATACGAACTACCATTATTAAGACATCCTAACATAAGTATGTGCGCCAAGAAACAGATTATAAACAGCACATTCATAACAACACTGTGCCACCAGGACCAGACTTGGATATTATCTAAACTACGTAAAATTAACACCTGTCAAATGAAATGCCTGAGAAAAGCCGCCAAAAACCATCCGAGGCAAAGTTAGAAATGATGTTATCAGACAGACTGTGGAAACAACACCATGCAGCAGGGTCACTGAGAAGTAGAAGATCAAATGGTTTGGTCATCTAGTAGGACGCAGCTATAACAACTACCAAATAAACTTGTTGTGAAAGCAAGCGGTCACTCTAGAAGAAGAACTGATGACATTAAAGAGCGTCTACATCGACACTGAATTACAATAGCCATTGCTGCCCATCAAGTCAAGCAATGGATCGCAAAATGTTCCTCCCTACGCAACTTAACAGCAGAAATGGAAATTCATGACGATCATGATGAATGACGAAGAAATTCTAAAGATTCTTCTGTAAAACCACATCCCGGTGGGCAGCCAATTATGCCTGAATAGAAATAAAATTACAGTCTGTATTTTGTGTTTTCTTTGTTTAAATTTACGTTTCCCTCAGTCCCGAAAGTTATAGGTTCAATTCCGCACAGAGCGGGATTTGTTTCTTAAAAAAAAAAAATGACTTTGGCCCTTGGATCGGTTCAGCCTAAAGTGGTACTAGGTAATATCCTGGGAAGTAAAGCGGCCTCTGTGATTTTAACCACATCACCCAAACTAGTATCGACTGGTCTATACAATATCCTAACACTATCTGCCCAGTACGCCTAATGGTGCGGAAAAGGGTATGTTACTTTTACTTTGTTACAATTGGGATTCTCCGTGGCGAAGTGGTTAAGCCACTTGCCTCGTGCTCTGAGGGTCGTGGGTTCGTTCCACGGCTGCATCACAGTTAATGAGTGTAATTTTTAGAGATCCATTAGGATCGTCGCAGGAGCTTTTGAGGTTTTGCTTTGGGAGATGCTCTCGGCAGGCAGCTAGCTGCTCTTCGGATGGAGACTGAGCCATATGGGATAAAACATGGTGCATTGAATTCGATTATCTTACCTCACCTTTGTTTACATTGACAACGATGAAACAGGCAGTCATGTTTGATCGTTGTTGAAATTGTACTTCAGTTATAAAGGATTCACTTATTTACTTCATTTATGTAATTCTCACTTTAGTATCGAGATACAGCGAAATATGCCAGGCTATAAATTGTGCAGTCTATTGTTTGTGTCTTCTTTGTTCAAACGATGAAACAGTTTTTATTTGACTAAATTTGTACTGGTTTCAGGTGTCTACCGCCACAGTTAAAGGAATAGTGACTGAGATTACCAGGGACTGCATCGATGAATGCTATTACGGCTGTGTGGCTTCGGAGTTTGGAATCACCGTGATTACGTGTACATCGTGCTGCGACGAAGATTTCTGCAATACCGGAAATGCTGCTACAAACAAAGATATCAAGTGGACACATTTGTGGAGTGTGGCTGTCTTGTCGTTTCTTGCACAAATTTATGATTTGATTTAAACAATTTGAAATACTATTATTATTAATATTATTATTATTTTTTCTTTTAGCTGCCGTTCATTTACACGGGACACTGTCAAAATGTGAATGTCAAAAATTGTCATTGCCGAAAGGCACGAAAGAACATGTTGCCTTTCTGACTTTCATTCTTTGGTCCACTGAAAATCACTTCGTCTGACAAGGTTTAATTAAGCAAGCTGTGGGTAGATTGCTAAAATCCACCTTGTTTGACAAGGTTTAAGCAAGCTGTGCAAAAATGGCTAAAAAACTAACCAGGTTTGACAAAGTTTGAGCAAGCTATGAAAAAATTGCTAAAATCCACTTCGTTGGAAAAGGTCTAAGCAAGCTGTGGAGAAATTGCTTTATGAGCAAGACAAAACAGTGTCATGCAAGTACATGTCACTGGGTGGTGGCTGCATTATGTGTAGAAGTGACGGAGACGAATTAGAAGATTGGGATATTTTAAGGACATAATAAGTTCTACTGCGAGGGAATTTCGTAAATTTGTGCCAACCGTTTACGAAAAAAAAATTGTGTTACATTGATTTTTGAAAGCCCCTAATAATTTTCAAAATTGTGTGAAAGGAAAGAGTTTGTCAGTGGATCGATCGATTTGTCCCTTTCGACTGATGCCTGCCCAATGCAACCTGCAGTCCTGTGCGGAAAAGGACAGAAAGAGTTGTTGAGTTTATTTAGGAACCAACGTCACAGCTTTCTGCACATTGCAATAAGCGCACCGTCCCGTTTTCAGCAGCCAGCGCAACGTTCCAACTCAAATTGTACTAACAGCAGTCAGCTTGAATGATTGATTTTCTGTAATTTATATGTTTAGATGTGGGATCAAACCCAAAATCTTCAGATCGTGTTAACCAGCTTGGTAACAAGAGGCACAGGAAAACAAGGGAGGGATTATTACATCTTGTCATCCCTTTTTGGGATGCAATTTTTCGTTATTTGAAGCACTACTCTGGCTCTTGCAAGGGGCCGCAATATAGCCTTGAAATAAAAATGGTCTAATGGCTGAACGCGGTTTCTGTGACCTCTCCACGGCGATCCTCATCCACATGGTGGCACTTCGTGTCATCGGGTGTTTATCGCTTGTGTGATGTCCTGGTGGGGTAAAAGAAGATAGATAGAGAACGGAGGATATTAAAAAACTGCGAAACTGCAGCTGGTAATGTTTTAGTTGTTTCCCATTTTTTATTCAATGATGTGGAATCATATTGTGAAATAAATATTATTAAACGAGCAATATATCCAGTTTCATCCTTTTCAGGACACATTTTTTTTTATTTTTTTTATTTTTATTTTAAGCCCCACCCTGGCTTTTGCCAATGCCCGCAATATAGGCAGGCCATAAATATGGCCAATTGTGTGAACGCGGTTTCTGGGACCTTTCAACGGCGATCCTCATCCACATGGTGGCACTTTGTGTCATCAAGTGTTTATCGCTTGTGTGATGTCCTGGTGGGGTAGAAAGTCTAGTCAAGTCATTAAACGAGGACAAACATATTCACACGGAAGGACACTAGCCACTATTCCACAACGGTTCCGTATAAGTCATACTATGTTTGTGATTCTTTTTCTGCTGCTTTTTAACCCCCAGTGGGGTATAGGCCCTCAACCAACTCACTAAAGGTCGTTTACTCTTTTCCTATCGCGTGCAGCTCTCACTGTGTCCCCCGCATCTTTTCAACTTCACTCTCTAGGGGGGGGGGGGTGATGTTGTGGGGAGGGGGGGGTGATGTTGTGGGGAGGGGGGGGGTGCTTTCTTTATTTCTGTTCCCCATTTCTTCTCAACGCGTGTCCTATCCAACGCCAGCTTCTTTTTTTTTTCCACCTCTTGGTCCCATGGAACTTATTTAGTTCTCTCCCAAAGCTCTACATTTGTGATTCTATCACATCGTTTAATTTCTTCGATTCTGTGCAGGCATCAGTTAATGAATGTTTGTAGTTAATTAGTAATTGCCTTAGTAGTTCTCCATGATTCCATACAATAGTACTGATTTGACATTAGAATTAAAAATTCTAAGTTTAGTATAAGTTTTAATTGACTTTGACCTCCACACATTTCCTAGTGCTTTGAAAGCTCTTCTTGTCTTTTACATTTGCATTTTAATATCTCTCAGTTCCCCCATCTTTTTTTTAAAGTACTGCCCACATAGATTTTTAAATTACCATTTTAATTATTGATGTCTTTGGTTCTTCAGTATTAAGCACACAAGTTCTGCATAGATTCTTCAAATATGAGGGGAAATGTCAACATTGATAGATGCCGACCTGCGGTGTATTGAACAAGCATAAGGTATTTTACGCCAGTAAAAGTTCAGCATAGATTCTTCAAATATGACGTGAAATGTCAACATTGATAGATGCCGACCTGCAGTGTATTGAACAAGCATAAGGTATTTTACGCCAGTAAAAGTTCTGCATAGATTCTTCAAATATGACGTGAAATGTCATCATTGATAGATGCCGACCTGCAGTGTATTGAACAAGCATAAGGTATTTTACGCCAGTAAAAGTTCTGCATTTGAGAAGGTATAGCCTTAAATGCGAATGATTGTAGCAAATCTTGCCGTCCTTTTTAGGATGCAATTTTTCGTTATTTGAAGTCCCACTCTGGCTCTTGCCAGGGACCGCAATATAGCCTGGCCATAAATATGGCCTGGGGGCTGAACGCGGTTTCTGGAACCTCTCCACGATGATCCTCATCCACATGGTGGCACTTTATCGCATGTGTGATGTCCTGGTGGGGTAGAAAGTCAGTCATGCGAATGATCTACAGAACGCCATTGATAAGTTTCTCTATGAGGGGCAGCAGCTCCCTCGAGCGAAAGCCTTAGATTGTCAATAAGTTAATGAGTGCGAAGTCCGAGAAAGATCACACACACTACATGAAAATGTAACAGAAAAAAAAAAACTTCACTATATACAATAAAAAACATCCTATGAAATGTCTCTGTCATTGAATGCTAAAAAAATAATTCTTGCTTGCCGCATATAACCAGTTTTAACATACGGCTGTGAGTCTTGGACAATCGGTAGGCAGGCCAAACAATTTCTTAAGACCTCAGAGATGTGGTTTTACAGAAGAATGCTTAAAATACCTTGGAAAGTCAAAACGAGCCACAAAAGAGGTTTTGAAATAGGTGGGAGCCCAAAGCAATCTATTATAGACATCAGAAGGAGACAGTTATCATTTTTCGACTATGTTATGAGAAAATAGAAAATGGAACATGTTGTGACCACTGGACAGATTTGTGGAAGGAGGGTTAGAGGAAGACAACGAGAGAAGATTTTTGACAATCTTTTTGCACGGCATGGCGGTGTGTCAGCATACAAACTAATACATGCTGCAATAGATTGCAGATTGTGGAGAGGCATGATCGCCCACGCCAGTCGGCAAGGCACCTGATGATGACGATAATGTTATGTTATCACAATCAACCTGTTTGCACATTGGGCATCCCTATGCGTGCTCAGTCCTCTGACACAGCAGCCACTCAAAGGTACTTCTACTGATTTTTTACAAGATGGAGTTGGTTATAGTATTTTTTGTCTTGACCTCGAAGACGGCATAGTCGTGCTTTATCAAGCTTTACTCCTCGGTCACGCAGTCGTGTTAGGATCAGAGATTCGCCATGATCCCCCAACCTAGTCTATACAGCGTTGATGACATCAGCTTTAAGGTACAAGTGCTGACTGTCGAGTAGCACACTGATTGTGCACATGTCATACTCTTTCTCTCACTTGTCCTTTCCTGCCGGAGCCACACTGAATTAGAATTGCATGTAACCTTACACATGTTGTTTCATTAAACTTATCTTCCATCAGTATTCATTTATAAATGGTCCTCAAATGTCTGTCTTGTTTAGTATAAGTTTTCCTGTCCACTGTCATTTTTGTAGCTAAAACATCTGCTGGTTTTTGTGTGTGTGTGTGTTTTTTTTTTTTAAAATAGAAAACCGAAAAAACATTAAAAGAAAACAATAGAAACGTCACAACTCGAAGTTAATAGGTAAATGCCATATACAAGGGAGTGGCGGGAACAACTGTAAAGAACATAATTTAGAACCCCCCCCCCCCCCCCCCCCCCCCCCCCCCCCCCCCACCCCCACCCCCCCCCCCCCCCCCCCCTCCCCCCCCCCCCCAAAAAAAAATTATTTATTGCTTTGAAACAAACTTTATTGTAAGACAAAAAAAAAAATACAAATATATTCAATTTGCACTAAAAATCAACAAAGGCAGAGAAGTGTTAACAAAATAAATACTCACAAACATCCAATATAAATAATCTGCAATATGATATTTAATGTTCAACACTGAAATAATATTTTGACATTCAGGAATGAAACAACAGAAAACAAATCTGTATGCATCATAGAGCCTTGGTGGCATAAAAGCTAGATGCTCGCCTGCCAGCCCGAAGATCTTGGTTTCAAATCCACACAGTCTAATTGAATTTTTAAAAACTGACTTTGGCTACTTTGTCAACCCATCGTAAAATAGGTACCAGGTAATGTCTTGAGAAGTAAAGGTGAACGGGGCGATATTGACCACATCACCCACTGAGTGCCAACCGGCATATACAAATATGAGTTTAGCTTCATATGCCTACTGTATCTCTAGCGAAAAATGTTTTTTTTTTTTTAAACTTACGTATCAAGCATTTTAAAAACACAAAGGAACCATAGGTTTAGTTTTAAACAACAGATCATCATCATGGCACAAGGGCAGTAACCCATAAATGCTCCTTTCTACTTCCAGCTCAAGCTTGAGTCTGAATTATCTCAGCGCAGTGCACAAAATCCCTAGCACCGGCAAGGATGCTGAAATACTTTGGGGTACATTTTCAAACTCGAAATTTTCCCCAGGCAGTGCCGTTCTTCTTCTTCTGCCTTTCTAGCCGCTAATGGAGCATAGACCCTCAACCAACTCATGCCAAGTCGTTCTATCCTTTGCTATCGCCTGCAACTCTTCCTATGTCATTCCCATCT